ATACTGTACAAACTTGATCATTAGCTCTGCATGATGTGGTAGAAGCTAAGGGAACCAGGTTTGCCAAAGTAACTGTGATGATAGAAATGTATTAGCCTCTGAAGCTACTAAGGTGGCCCATTCTATCCTAGAGCACTAAAACAAATAAAACAATAAAGCATATATATACTATGTGTCTATGAGTAAAAGCAATCAGAACACCACACAGCTGATCAGAGATTATTCTAAAGCAGCAGATAAGCAAGGGTTTTATAAAGGTGTGTTGTTTGCAAAGTGTTGTCTCCCATAACTACCTGTCCTTAGAAACCTGCCCGTCTGGAAAGGGGCCTCTGAGTATTGTCAGAAACAAATAGCTCCCAACACTTCTGCAAATCCTCTTGGCAGGAACATCGAATCAACAGTCCAGGGATTAAGAACCAGCATCTTGGCTTGGGGTTTGGTAAATTAAAGGTAGAGCTAGGGTCAAGAAATATAAATTAGATAGTAAATCACTGGGGTTTTCTTTTTCCAACAGGATATATGATTCTTTTAGTTTATTTATTTTGGTGGGATTGGGGTTTAAACTCAGGGCTTCGTGTTTGCAAAGCAGGATCTCTACTCCTTGTGCCACACCTCTAGTCCATTTTGTTCTGGTTATCTTGGAGATGAGGTCTCCTGAACTATTCTCCTGGTCTGGCCTTGAACTTTATCCTCCTGATCTCAGCGTCCCAAGTAGCTAGGATTACAGGTGTGAGCCACCAGCACCCTATGGGTTATATTTTATTATAAGGTGGTAATTTCTGCCCACTAAGATACTATATGAAAATTAATGTCCTTAAATACATTCTTAATTTCTTTCCTTTATCCTTGTCTCCTTTCAGGTTAAATCAGATATTTTTTTAAACATAAAGTGCATTTTTTCCCTCATTTCATGTATACTGAATTTTATTTTTCAGGCACTCTACTGAGGTCAACAATATAGGACGAATACATGGTCCTCTGCACTGTAAGAGCGTGCAGTCTAGTAGAGACAGACTAGTGTGTATAGGAAGGGAAAAGTTAATAGAGGGATGTTCTGGGTGCTACAGAAATAATGGAGAAGGATCGTCTAGCCCTTTGGAATAGAGCTAAAGAGACTTAGAAAATCCTTGGAGAAGAGGTGAACACTGTGCACTGAATGAAGAATGGAGGGTTGGATAAATAGATGAGAAGGGAAATCTAGGCCCAGAGAACAGGTACAAAGGACCCACGAGTAACTGTATTAGAGGGCAAGGATTAGAGAGTGGCACTAGTTTGGGCCTTGAAGATTGGGGTCAGATCAGATGAGGCCTGCTATGGCACGCACTCATGCATGCAGTTTGACTCAAACAATTGCAAGTGACAGAAATGCAGACTGGTTGGTAAAAGATTAAAAATGACTGAATTCATAAAACAGCATTAGATAGCTCCTATTTGGGTCCAAGTTCAGTATTTATAGTCATACTAGTGGCATTAGCCATTTATTAAAACAGGACTAGAAACTGAGTTATAAAATGTTGAGCTTTAAAAAGATGAAAGTGGATTAGGAGGCTCTGTGAAAAATAGACAGTGATGCAAACAGGCTTAAACCTAGCTCTCCTCCAGTTAAGCCTTTCAAAGGAGAAGCAAATTGTATCAGTCAGCTTTCCACTACTGTAACAAGTGCCTGAGATAATCAGTTTACAAAGAGAAAAGGGTTGCTAGGGCTGAGTTTTTGAGGTTTCAGTCCATTTAAATCAGTATTTGATTAATACCAACTCCAATTAAGTCACTGTTCTAGATCTGTTTTGTGCTCATGTTAATTTAGGTTTTAAATTAACTACTTTTTTAGAAGTTGGTAATGTATGTGCATTGTACACTCAGTTCCACAGTGAGAATGACTTTTTCCTTGCATCCCAGCTACCTGATTCTTCAGCTGCCCAATCTTCCCCATCTATGTACTAGTTTCTCCCAGAGATGATCCATTTAGATAGTAGTCTCTTGCTCACACAGACAGTGCTAGCCTACTGTGATAAAATTTTCTGGTGGCTCTCTCAGTGAGCTGCACCCACTTGTATTCATGTCCTGTGTAATTCCCTTGCATATTGACTGTGGTTGCCCATGTGACTGGTATTGGCCATTGGGAATTTTGACAATTGCTTGTCTATTGAGACTTGTTTCCTGGGAATGTTTGCTATTGTAACACTCCCTCTCAGAACCCAGGAGCCACCACCTGTGAGATCCCTACCTAGTCATGTAGTGAAGCTACACGGAAGAAAACAGAGGTCCTTCCAATAGTCTCAGCTGAGCCTCCAGCTATCAGCCAACTTGAGGTCGGCAGCTATGTGATGAACAAACCACCTTCTCAGAAGTGGAACCTCCAGCCCCAGTCAGGCCACCCCGCACAATGCTGTGTGGAACACAGATGAGCTTTCCCTGCTGAGTCCTCCTCAAATTGAAAAACTGAGCTGTCATTATAAGCCCCTGCATTTGGTTTGTCCTGTAGCAATAGATAATGGAGACGTGCTATAAATACTATATGTTCTGTGCCTTGTTTTTTTATTGAACAATGTACTAGATACCAGTCTATTTCAGTATGTACAGAGCTGCCTCGTTCCTTTTAAGAGGTGGGTAGTACTGTAGTATATGGCTGTACACTTTAATTAACAGGACTCTTACAAATGGAAATTTGTTGTTTCCACTTTTGTAGTATTTCATGTCTTTGCTACATACTTCCTTTTGCACACGAACATTTATTGAATAAATTCTTTGAAGTCAAGTCTCTGAATCGAAGAACAGATGAATTTACTATTTTAGTAGGTATTGCCAGATTGCACTCCAGAGAGCTTCTACCCACATCTAGGGATGTGGGAGGAGCCTCCTTTAGAGAGTGACCTGAATGACTGGTGAGCACTGTGCCACAGTGAAGTTGGAGTGTCCCATTTTTCCTCTAATATTTTTTCATATATTTAAAACCCATTTGCATTTATTTATTTATTTATTATTTCTGAGGCAGGACTTCACCACGTTGCCCAGACTGGGCTGGAACTTGTGATCCTGCTATCTCAGCCTCCCGAGCAGCTGAGATGATAGGCATGGACCATTGCCACTTCCTTTTCAATAATCTATATTTCCATTTTGATGAACTGTCTTCCTTTTTTCCATTGGATTTATTGGTCTTTTTCTTCTTTGGAGGAACTTTGTGTGTTAAATAAATTAAGTATTAATGTTTACCCAAAACTTTAGAGTTTTGTTGTTTTTGTTTTGTTCATCATTTTTGGACTTTGCCCACCAACTAGGTATTATAGGTAGTCTCCCTTATTTTCTTCTAGTATTTTTTGTTTTATTATTTTTATTTTTTGATGTTGGGGATTGAACCCAGGGCCTTCCACTTGCTAGGCAGTGGTCAATCACTGAGCTACGTCTCCAGCTCTTTATTATCTTATTTTTTATATTTTAACCTTGATCTGTCCAAAACATCTTGACATATAGGTTTTAATTTTTAATTTTTCCAAATAGGTTTCTGAGGTGGCTGGCCAGTTGTCCATTAATATTGTTATTCTGTGTCATCCTTATGTACTATATTCCATACTTATGCCACAATTTCAATATGTTTATGGAATTCAGCAAATCTTTTTGAATTACTATATCATAAATCGATTATTTCCTTTTTCTCTGGTATCTTTGAAGATGTTTCAGTGAATACTTAAAAAATGATTCTTTTTAATTATTAATCCCAACCTAGTTTATGGTTTCTTTTGAGGATATGAAAATGAACATTTATAGTCTGCATTTTAAGTTATTAAAACCCCTGTCTCTTTAAGCCACTCAAAAGCCAATGATATGTGTTTTGTGTGCAGAAATACGGAGAAGATCAATCCACAAAACTGAGATTCATCTCAGGAGAAGTAGGATTGTGTATGAGTATAGAGAAACATGCTTTTAAAAAAAGTCATATGTCATATTAAGGCTTGTTACCAAGTTCCTGAAGCATGTGGAAGGTTGGGAGCTCGTAAAAGGAAGATTTTTGTCTTGTTAGTGGAATGATTGAGGCCAGATCATTGTGTGTGGAAATCAGGAAATAATGCTTGCAATATGATGTATTAAGAAAATAGGTCCAGGACTGGGGGTACAGCTCAGTGGTATATAGTATGTGCTTAGCATGTGTAAGGCCCTAGGCTCTCTCCTAGCACCACAAAATAAATAACATAATAAAGTTCATGAATAGGTCCATTTAACTTGGTGACACGCCTGAAATGACTGCAAGGTTCCTGAACACCTAGAGCAGTGACAGCCAAAGGGAAAACTGTGAAGTTCCTTATTAAACTCAGTTTCCTCTTCTACCTGCTTTTCCTTCTGCCTCTCTGGGCCAGCAACTCGTGTTCATTTTACCTCAGACCTTTCTTCACAGGCATGTAGTCCACCTGCAGTTTCCAACCATTCAGGGCCTGGGAAGCATGCATTTGCACCCCAAGGTGCAATTTAGCACATGTAACCCCAGTTAAGAAGATCAGCGGGATTCCCACAGGGATATGCAGAGTAAAGGTGCTGCCTATTCTGGGATTACATTTCAGCAGAATCTCCAAAGTTTGAGCTGAAAGGACCGAGTTCTGTGGGGTTTCAGATGTCAGCCAGAGTGGAGAGGCTTTTTGGGGACACATGTGCCTTCCCATTGTGGCTGCTATGCTCTCACCCTCTGCCCCAGGCCAACACAAAGTTGTATCATGTTCTCCTTCCTTCTTTCAGAAGCCTCCCATAGCTACTGGGTAGGAAGACATTTCACTAAGCTGGGCAGATAACTGACTTCTGGTTCAGAATCACAGAACATCAGTACTAAAGGAAACCCATAGGAACCCATTCATATTATAAATGATGTCTCTTTTTTTTCCCCTATATTTTATATTCTTATACCTTTGAGATGTTTTGGCACCAATGGCATTGTTCTCTGTTTCCTTGGTGCCATGTAAGCTGGGATATTTAGTTTTAAGGATAAAAAATTTTATTTCTTTTCCTTTTAGATCTTGTCTAAACTTTCCTTGCCTGCTCGTCCCTGGGAAAAACCAATGAAGCAGAGTTTTGCCTTTGACAATGTTGGCTACGAAGGGAGTCTGGATGGCATATGCTCCTCACCAACGACCAGCAGCACAATCAGCATTCTGGGCATGACTTGCCAGTCATGTGTCAAGTCCATTGAGGACAGGATTTCTAGTTTGAAAGGTGTTGTGAGCATTAAGGTTTCACTGGAACAAGGCAGCGCAGCAGTGAAATATGTGCCATCCATCATGAGCCTGCAACAGATTTGCCATCAAGTCGGGGACATGGGTTTTGAGGCCAGCATTGCAGAAGGAAGGGCTGCCTCCTGGCCCTCAAGGTCCTCATCAGCCCAGGAGGCAGTGGTCAAGCTCCGGGTAGAGGGCATGACCTGTCAGTCCTGTGTCAGCTCCATTGAAGGCAAGGTCCGGAAACTGCAAGGAGTAGTGAGAGTCAAAGTCTCCCTTAGCAACCAAGAGGCCGTCATCACTTACCAGCCTTATCTCATTCAACCCGAAGACCTCAGGGACCATGTAACTGACATGGGATTTGAAGCTGCCATCAAGAACAAAATGGCTCCCTTAAGCCTGGGACCAATTGACGTCAGTCGGTTAGAAAGCACTAACCCAAAGAGATTGTCAGCTTTTGCTAACCAGAATTTCAATAACTCTGAGACCTCGAAGTACCAAGGAAACCATGTGGCCACCCTCCAACTGGGAATAGAGGGAATGCATTGTAAATCTTGTGTTTTGAATATTGAAGGAAATATAGGCCAACTCTCAGGGGTTCAAAATATTCAAGTGTCCTTGGAGAACAAAACTGCCCAAGTCCAGTATGACCCTTCTCTTATCACCCCTTTGTCCCTAAAGAGGGCCATTGAGGCACTTCCACCTGGGAATTTTAAAGTTTCTCTTCCTGATGGAGCAGAAGAGAGTGGGCCAGAGACTGGATCTTCTGAGATTCCATCCCATGGCTCCCCCCAGAGAAACCAGATGCAGGATGCGTGCAGAACTGTGGTGCTGTCCGTCACTGGCATGACCTGTGCGTCCTGTGTCCAGTCCATTGAAGGCACAGTCTCCCAGCGGGAAGGGGTGTGGCAAATATCGGTCTCTTTGGCTGAAGGGACTGGAACGATTCTTTATGATCCCTCTGTAATTACACCAGAGGAACTCCGAGCTGCTGTAGAAGACATGGGATTTGAGGCTTCAGTGATTCCTGGTATGTTGTTAATAACACGTTTGAAGCACATCCTGGGGTTGTCTCTTGGTGTGGGTGGTTGGATGAGCCCTGGTGACTGTCTCGCGTGCTGACAGTTAACAAGTTCTGTAACCTGTCCTCACTTGTAGAGGAAATGGTATTTACCAATGCTGATTTGAGCTTCTTTCATGGAGTGAATACTAATTCTATGTTCTAAACAGAGCACTGAGGTAACACAAGGCCCTTTTCTTATCAAAGGAACCATTATTACTTTCACTGAAGGTTTCTCTTGCTACTCAAACTAAATAATAAAAGCAATAGAGCCTTAGTTTCAGCACCTACAGTTCATTCTGTTGAAGGGGAACTTAAAGGAAGGCTTTAGATTTCCGTACCTGCCTTTGACAGCTATAAGGCAAGAGGGTTGGCAGGGTGGCTATGACATTCTTCACAAAGCTGGGGGCTCATCCTGTGATGGCATGTCATTAGGCAGAATTTCCCACGTGGTGGCCATCCCCTCTCCCTCCTCTTGGTTCAGTGGCTTGTGTTCTCTTTCATTTCTCTTACCTTAGAACCCCCATAATGCAGCATCACTTGAACCCTTTCTGCATACCCTATGTCTAGTGGAAGGGCTGCCACCCCACCCAAGGAAGAGCTGTTGTTGTAGTGAGATGAGGCGAGGAGGAGTAAACCATTGCCTAGCAGCAAGACAAGTTCTGTGTGAGCCCAGGCCCTGGCTTTTCCAAGATGGTCCGTGGAATGAGAGGTGTGGGGCGGGGAAGGGAGGAAGACACAGCCTGCACATCCTGACCAGTGGCCTTAGCCTGGAAACTAGAGGGATGCACAGTGGCCTGAGATGAGGTCAGGAGGGTGGCTCTGGGCTCAGAGCAGGAGGTTGGTCAGCGATCACAGCCACCAAGCTTGTGATCAGTGATGGGCTGTATGTGATGGGAGAAGGCCCTGGAGGAAAGGCAGAGCCAGAGATGAGACTGGATGAGCCCTCCCAGATGCTGGAGGACTGTGAGGCTATACATGCAGATTTGAGTGTGGTAGCCTGGTGAGGACAGAGACTCAGGAAGGGGGAACAGGAGAAGGGAAAGAAGCTGAACTAGGGAAGCACAGAGGAGAGGAAACTCCCAGCTGGTGACTGGAGGAGAGGGGTTGCATAGGCAAGGTGTGAGGTATCTCTCAGGTTAACTAGGGACAAGCCACTGGAGGCCTCCACCACTGTTTCAGCACACCCAAAGGTGGGAGTCCAACTTGGTGAGGCATGGAGACTACAGGTAACTTAGGGCCGGAAAGGATAGGGCAAGGGACAGAGCTGCAGGATATTCTAGGGAGAGGCTGAAGATGAGGCAGGAAGGGGTGCTTTCTCTTTTGAGACTGAGTCTTACTGTGTTGCATAGGCTGGCCTCTCAAACTCCTAGACTCAAGTGATCTTCCTTCTTCAGTAACCTGAGTATCTGGTACTATAGGCTGAGGGGCCCATTTGGTGAGGGATAGCCCTATAGGTGGTGGTGTTTTAACTGTTAAGCCCTCAGATCCAGGCCCTGTATGTCCTGTGAATGTGTAGAATGGGCTAGGATCCTGTGGCTGCAGAGCATTTGGGCTGAAGCTTACCACTACAGGGGAGGTGACCCAGCACTGAAGAGCTGCTCGTGGTGCCCAGGCAAAGCCCCTCTGGCAGTGCCCAGGGCCTGTAGGACTTTGATTTCCCACATCCTGTTTCTTCTGGCCACTGACAAGGTTTGTGTCCTTGAAAGGTCCACTCTATTATAATACTTTCCTGCCTCCCCTCTGTACACAGCACACCCACTATTGAAGGGAGTGGGTAAGTCATGTGGAGTGGCATAGCCACATTCTTTGTCCTTTGTACCAAGTTTCAGGAAGGAGTGGTTCTTCCCCCTCTACCACCACCATACTTACCACCCTCTGGGGAGAAGTTTTTTGTTTGTTTTTTTTTTCAAAGAAAAACAAAAATTTATAAGGCGAACACAATAGAACAGTAAGTCCTGTACTCGGAAGGTAAGACATGTAAGGGTGCAAACATCTGCTGTTTTGTGTGAAGCTTGAAGTCTTTCAACAATACAGTCAGGTTATTGGGAACAGAAATGAAATGACCTTTGAGCTATGTATTACAAAATAATTAGATTTGGATAAATCTAGAAAGAAGAGGCAATTTTATTGAGCAGAATTATAGGAATTATTATTTATTTAACCCAAAAAGTTCTTAAGGTATCAGGTTTAGAAAATAAAAACTATAGGATACCCAGTTAAATTTGAATTTCTGGTAAATAATGAGTGATTTCTTTGGTATAAATATGTGAACATTGAATATATACTTAGAGTAAAAAATTAAGTCCGTTTACATTAAAAAATTATTTGTTGTTTATCTGAAATTGAAATTTAGTTGGACATCCTAGATTTAACCTGGCAACTTCAATTCAGAGTAAGCCATTATGCTCATGACCATCCTTTATGACCACTTGCATGCTAAAAAGGTATTATGTCCTCAAATTTTTGGAAGTTAGCAGAAAATGAGCAAAGTATCCCAATATGTGAGATTCATTCAGCAGAAAAAAAGGACTTAGAAGTCACAGGCTATTGTTAGTACTGGTCACTGCCAGTCTTTTTGTCATCTACAGCTGATTTTAGAATAATTATCCAAGTTGGACCCAGTCACAGACCATCTGTCATTAAAAGTAGAGAGCCTTGCCTGGCTGAGTTAGAGAGATGTGACAACTGAAAAGACATGTTGAAGATGGGGAATAGTGTGTAAACCTAGGGATGCAGGTAGCCTTTACATTCTGGAAAAAGCAAGGAAACAGATTCTTCCCCAGAGCCTCCTGAAGGCCACAGCCCTGCTGACACATTGATATTAGTGTCGTGTGACACTTCTGATTTCAGGACTGTAAGATAATATATTTCTGGTCTTTTAAGCCACTAAGTTTGTGTAATTTGTTACAGTAGCAGTAGGAAATCAATTCAACATGCATCAAGATTCAGAGTGACATTCTTCAGATTTGTGCATCTTATTCTAAGTAAATTACACCTTCAAAAAAGACAGTGGAATACTGGCACAAAAAAGAACAGTGGACATAAAGGAGTCCAACATCAAGTCCAAACCTTTGTGCTCTCCTAATTTCTGGCAAAGGTACCACTGGAACTTTGGGAAAGGATGGTCTTTTCAGTCTATGGAATTACATCATAATTGGAAAGAAAATAATCTTGCCTTTTACTTATACTGTCCATGAAAAATAACTAACATGTCATAGACTTGAATATGGAAGTCTATTAACACCCTAGAGTGTCTAGAAAAACATGTCATGCATATTTTTGCAGTGTTGGAATAAACGTCTATTAAGAGAACACAAAGAAGTACTAACCATTAAAAAAAAGAACAATACATTGGATTTTATTAACAGAAGGACTTTGTTTACCAAAAGACACCATTAGAAGGGTAAAAGCACACACTGGAAGGGGATATTTGCAAAGCATATAACTGACAAAAGGTTCATATCTATTATATATAGAGAACTTGTACAAACAGTAAAAAAAAGGCAAACAACTCCATAAGGGTGTGATTCTCACGGGGAGGGAGCCAAACCTCTGCTAACAAGAACGAGGTAGTGGTCAAAGGTTCAGACACGAGTTAAACAGACCTGTTTAAAGCTTGCTCCATGACACACTTATTTCTTGTAACTCATTTCTTCATCCATAAATAGGGATAACAATATTTAACGTATGGGGCTGTTTTAAGGATTAAAGGAGGTCATACATGTAAAGTGCTTAGTGGAATATGAATTGTTGCCATAATCATCAAATTAAAGCATTCGTCTATACAGAGCAATCATCTTTGAAGCAGTGATATGTTTTCATGGGTCTGTAAGTATGTGTGTCTGTTTCTAGGGCACCTCTCCAGGAGCTTTAATCTGAATATTGTCAAGCATGAACTTCTGTTCTGAAAAACAAAATACTGTAGATATTCTAACCTGAATTATTTCTGACATTTTATTATAGAAAACTATTCTACCAGCCATGTTAGAAATGACAGTGCTGGGAATTCTATGCTACAAACTACAGGCAGCACACTTGGGTCTGTGAAGGAAGTGGCTCCCTGTGTCAGGGTGCTCCCTGAGAACCACGGTCCTGGCCACTCATCAAATACCCCACCACCCACCAGTACAGTAGCCCCACAGAAGTGCTTTTTACAAGTCAAAGGCATGACCTGTGCATCCTGTGTGTCTAACATAGAAAGGAATCTTCAGAAAGAAGCTGGTAAGAGATCTTCACCCTTGTTGAACTTGGGAATGCTGTGAATAGACTATGTATCTCCCCTTCAGGATCCCCATTAACTGTGTTTATCAGCAGCCCTGACAAACTGGCAGCAGGTTTATCATATTGTGTGGATGTTTGTCTAATGTCCTTGTGCAGTTAGCATTCTGTTCTTTTAAGTATTAAGTTTTTAGATAAAGTGTATCTCTGAGTAAGTTAGCCATAGAAAATCCAATTTAGTGGCTGTGGTACACTCTATGGGTAGACTTCTCACATAGCTTGTCCTAGTATCATTCAGTATCTTCCCATGTCATCATTTCCTTTATAAAATGAATAAGTAGCCTGCATTTTATGCAGAAGGTCTAGTTTCATGTACTCTGGCTATTGCCCCTGTAAGCCACAGGGTTTTATGGAAATGCCAGTTTTGTTCACCAAATTGTGTTACCAATACTGTCTCCAACCTGAAAGTGCAACAGAAATCTTGATCCCCCTTTTTTTTTTTGTTTGAAAATACTTTAATCATGACTCTACCTTGCCACTAGAGTGGCTTTTCTTACCTGGTGGCTCCATGTGTCTTTCTGCTCTGATGCCCTGGCCCTTTATCAACCCTAAGTTAGGGTGACATTTTTCCAGCCTCTTGTTCATTGTGCTTTAAAGCTTGCTAGAGCTATAGAATGACTGTTCTCAAATCGAGCTGTTACAGGAGTTCCTTTGTCATCCGTGGATGGGCTGCCCCTACAATTAATGTATATTTCATATGCCTGTGTTTCTGCACCTGACAAACCTCTCATTTTTATCCCTTATTGCATATTTGCTAAAGCAAATCATTCCTTTCTTTTATTTCAATGTGACTTCTTTTCCACCTCAAATTAACAAAACAGTATTAGCAAGGTGGTCTGGGGATTTCTTTTTCACTCCTGACAGTCATCAGGAACTGAAAAAGAGTAAGGAAAACTATTTTTTAAAATTATTTTTTCTTTATATGCCAGTGGGGGGGGGGAGGCACATCCTCTTTGTAACCAAGGTTGATAGTTACAGACTGCATCCCTTGCTTTGATGTGTGTACCCATCATGGAGTCTTTGAGAGCCTCAGCATCACTCAAGGCCAAGTGAATCTCAGGCTCCATCCCAGATCCACTGAGCCAGAATCTGTTTTAGTAAGGTCCTCAGGTCATTCAAATGCCCATTAATTTTCTTTTCTTTTTTTGATACTAGAGTTTGAACTCAGGGCCTCATGCTTGCTAGGCAGGTACTCTATCACTTGAATCATGCTCCTAGCCCTTTTTTGCTTTACTTATTTTTCACATAGTATCTTGTGTTTTGCCTGGGACTGACTTCAGACAACAATCTTCCTATCTACACTTCCCATGTAGCTGGGATGATAGGTGGGCACCACCATGGTTAGCTTGTTGGTTGAGATGGGTCTCACTAACTTTTTGCCTGGGCTAGCTTCAAACCATAATCTTCCTATGTCCACTTTTCACATAGCTGGAATGGCAGATATGTACTACCACGCCCTGTCCCTGTTAATATCTGAGAAGCATTGTTCTAGAACAGTGATTCTCAAAATTGACTATACATTCGAATCACCTAGAGAACTTTTAAAAAATATGATGTCTGGTGCCGGCCCTTAGAGATTCTGATTTGTCTGGTCTGGGTCAGGACCAGACATCCAGGTTGTTCACAGCTCCATAGGTGATCCTCATGTTCAGTCTAGAGGTTTCTGGGGAGATATTTTTCTTTTAGATGACCATGTTATCCCAGATGCATTGTCCAAAGAGTTACAGCCTTGACCTGATGGTTTCAGGTATTCTCTCTGTATTGGTTGCCTTGATGTCGGGAAAGGCAGAGGTCAAGTATAATCCAGAGGTCATCCAGCCACCCACAATTGCTCAGCTCATCCAGGACCTGGGCTTTGAGGCAACAGTCATGGAAGACAACGCAGGCTCTGACGGTGATATCGAGCTGATTGTAAGTATAGTGGCTGCCTCAGAGGTATAGGCTTTGGACAGTATGCTGATGAGTTTCTGACAGCAACCGTCTTTGTGACCATTAAGTTTCTCCATCTTAGATATGTCAGATTTGTTGTTGGGTTTTTGGTTTGTTCTTTTGTTGTTGGCACTGGGGTTTGAACTCAGGATCGCATGATTGCTAGGAGATCTTTGGTTTGTTTTGTTTGAAGTGCTCATTTTTTGAAGGGTCAGTTGTGTCAGAGAGTTGGAGGAGTCCCTCCCATCAAGTGCACTCAGGGTGAGGAGGAAGAGGTGGTGAGGGTCAGGAGGAAGGGTGGTGAGGTTCAGCAGTTGGGGAGAAAGAAGAGGTGCAATTGGTGGGCTGTGCTCAGCTTGGTAGATTGGGGGAGATTGAATTCGGTCACAATCCTTCAAGCCAAAAGAGAAGCTTGGGCACCTGCAGATGTATCTTGACAGAAGAAGTGAGCCCTTGGGCTTGCTAGTGTAACTCAGAGATGAGGACTGGGGTGGCTTGGTGGTAGAGCATTTGCCTAGCATGCACAAGGCTCTAGATTCCATCCCTGGTAATGCAAAATCAAAACAAAAAACTATACAGACAGAGAGGGATTGCTGTAGGCACCTGAGTGTCTATAAGGATAATTAGTGACCAAAGTATCCCAAAACACTTACTAGGAAGTGAATGCCCTAAGGTGGTGGTCATTCCCACTATGTTTTGGGCTGGGAGGTATTTCTGTTTGTCTACTTTTAGCAGCTGTATGTCAACAAATCATTGAAAATAAAGAGTAATTCTGGTATTTACAGTATGCAAAAGCACTTCTATATAAAGCTCTTTTTGTGTATACAAAGAGAGACTTAGAAGAAACCCTTAGCAAATTGAGGGATGTTATTTTACTAAGGAAAACAGATCCTTTGCCTCCTTATGTGTTTAGTTACGCCATTAATGGTAAGTAAATGTTTGAAGAAAAAGTGCTGAAGATATGAGTGGCATGCTGACTCCTGATAAATGGTGTTCTCTATAGAGCACACCCTTTGTTCTGGTGGTAGGGGGCTATCTGTGTGCTCGGGGCAAAGTTCCTACTTGCTGGGTTATAGCTGGTATCAACCATGAGAGAGGGGAGGGTCCCTGCTGTAAACCTCTAGGTTTACACATGGACATCTTGGCCTGCTCAGACTATTGTATGGGAAACCTAAATCAAGAATATTATTGGAAAAATCAATAAACGTAATAAACCACATTAACAGAAGCAAAGACAAAAACCACCCTTGATCATCTCAATAGATGCAGAAAAAGCCTTTGATAAGATCCAACATCATTTCATGATAAAAGCTCTAAGAAAACTAGGAATAGAAGGAAAGTTCCTCAATATTATAAAAGCTATATATGACAAACCTACAGCCAGCATTATACTTAACGGAGAAAAATTAAAACCATTCCCTCTAAAATCAGGAACCAGACAAGGATGCCCACTATCTCCACTCCTATTCAACATAGTACTGGAATTCCTAGCCAGAGCAATTAGGCAAGAAGAAGGAATAAAAGGAATACAAATAGGTAAAGAAACTGTCAAAATATCCCTATTTGCAGACGACATGATCCTATACCTTAAAGACCCAAAAAACTCTACTCAGAAGCTTCTAGACATCATCAATAGCTATAGCAAGGTAGCAGGATATAAAATCAACATAGAAAAATCATTAGCATTTCTATACACTAACAATGAGCAAACGGAAAAAGAATGTATGAAAACAATTCCATTTACAATAGCCTCAAAAAAAATCAAATACCTAGGTGTAAACCTAACAAAAGATGTGAAAGACCTCTACAAGGAAAACTATATACTTCTGAAGAAAGAGATTGAGGAAGACTATAGAAAGTGGAGAGATCTCCCATGCTCATGGATTGGTAGAATCAACATAGTAAAAATGTCGATACTCCCCAAAGTAATCTACATGTTTAATGCAATTCCCATCAAAATTCCAATGACATTCATTAAAGAGATTGAAAAAATCTACTGTTAAATTTATATGGAAACACAAGAGGCCACGAATAGCCAAGGCAATACTCAGTCAAAAGAACAATGCAGGAGGTATCACAATACCTGACTTCAAACTATATTACAAAGCAATAACAATAAAAACAGCATGGTACTGGCACAAAAACAGACATGAAGACCAGTGGAACAGAATAGAGGACCCAGATATGAAGCCACACAACTATAAGCAACTTATCTTTGACAAAGAAGCTAAAAATATATGATGGAGAAATAGCAGCCTCTTCAACAAAAACTGCTGGGAAAACTGGTTAGCAGTCTGCAAAAAACTGAAACTAGATCCATGTATATCACCCTATACCAAGATTAACTCAAAATGGATCAAGGATCTTAATATCAGACCCCAAACTCTTAAGTTGATACAAGAAAGAGTAGGAAATACTCTGGAGTTAGTAGGTATAGGTAAGAACTTTCTCAATGAAACCCCAGCAGCACAGCAACTAAGAGATAGCATAGATAAATGGGACCTTATAAAACTAAAAAGCTTCTGTTCATCAAAAGAAATGGTCTCTAAACTGAAGAGAACACCCACAGAGTGGGAGAAAATATTTGCCAATATACATCAGACAAAGGACTGATAACAGAATATACAGGGAACTTAAAAAACTAAATTCTCCCAAAACTAATGAACCAATAAAGAAATGGGCACGTGAACTAAACAGAACTTTCTCAAAAGAAGAAATTCAAATGGCCAGAAAACACATGAAAAAATGCTCACCATCTCTAGCAATAAAGGAAATGCAAATTAAAACCACACTAAGATTCCACCTCACCCCTGTTAGAATAGCCATCATCAGCAACACCACCAACAACAGGTGTTGGCGAGGATGCGGGGAAAAAGGAACCCTCTTACACTGTTGGTGGGAATGTAGACTAGTACAACCACTCTGGAAAAAAATTTGGAGGCTACTTAAAAAGCTGGACATCGATATACCATTTGATCCAGCAATACCACTCTTGGGGATATACCCAAAAGACTGTTACTCCAGAGGCACCTGCACATCCATGTTTATTGCGGCACTATTCACAATAGCCAAGTTATGGAAACAGCCAAGATGCCCCAGCACTGACGAATGGATTAAGAAAATGTGGTATCTATACACAATGGAATTTTATGCAGCCATGAAGAAGAACGAAATGTTATCATTCGCTGGTAAATGGATGGAATTGGAGAACATCATTCTGAGTGAGGTTATCCTGGCCCAAAAGACCAAAAATCGTATGTTCTCCCTCATATGTGGACATTAGATCAAGGGCAAACACAACAAGGGGATTGGACTTTGAGCACATGATAAAAGCGAGACACACAAGGGAGGGGTGAGGATAGGTAAGACACTTAAAAAACTAGCTAGCATTTGTTGCCCTTAATGCAGAGAAACTAAAGCAGATACCTTAAAGCAACTGAGGCCAATAGGAAAAGGGGACCAGGAACTAGAGAAAAGTTTAGATCAAAAAGAATTAACCTAGAAGGTAACACCCATGCACAGGAAATCAATGTGAGTCAATGCCCTGTATAGCTATCCATATCTCAACCAGCAAAACCCCTTGTTCCTTCCTATTATTGCTTATACTCTCTCTACAACAAAATTAGAGATAAGGGCAAAATAGTTTCTGCTGGGTATTGAGGGGGTGGGGGAGAGAGGGAGGGGGCTGGAGTGGGTGGTAAGGGAGGGGGCGGGGGCAGGGGGGAGAAATGAACCAAGCCTTGTATGCACATATGAATAATAAAAGAAAAAAAAAAGAATATTATTAGAAAAGACAAAAACTTTCTTTTAAAAAATGTGTTTTATGCAGTGTTCTTTTAAAAAATCTATACTGTATCAATAGTTATGTTGTTATCGTATAATCAAAGACTTTTATGTGAACTTCTGTATTTATTTATTTTTACCAAAACCCTGGCCTTGCACAGGCTAAGCAAGTACTCTGTCATTGAGCTACATCCCAGCCCAGAACTTCCGTACTGAACTGGTATCCTAGGAAATGCTGACCACTCATACCAGACAAGTGAATCATCTGATTCACCTAACCCATACTCCAGGAACGGCATGTCACACCTCCAGCCCCTATTTCTCATGTCAGGAAGTCATGACACACATACCTACATGGTATTTGCCACAACAGAGGTGCCATGGCACCTGGTTTGAATTCTGGCTGTTTTGCTGCCGGAACATTGAGTCTTTTAGTCTCTGAAGAGCTGCCATATGATGCAGACAGCAGTGGCTCAGCTAAGCCCTCTGAGTACAGGCTCCAGCTTGGCCCTCACTGGTTTGGTGACTTTATATGAGTCACTAGACCCATCAGCACTGCAGTTTTGAGACCTCCCTCATAGGTCTGGTGAGAATAGTACAGTGCCTAGGACATTACCTGGTGCATTACAGGTGTATAACAAATGTTAGTTATTATTGCGAAACTAAAAGGTGGGCTTTCATTTGAAATATTCGTAGATTTGATAAGATTCTGTTAGCACAGCCACCTGCTAACATGTAAGTGTCCGCTTGCCTGATAGTCTTCCCTTTCTGGTCTTTTTTTGGGTCCCACACTAAGTTGAATGTGTCTGATAACACATGAGCTCCCCTCTCCCTCCCTAATTTTTAGCCACATGGAACTCTCATCTCTTTTGCTGTTCATTTAGGAATTCTTGCTGAAAATTTCAAAGTGCACTTCCAATCACATTATCCTGATCATCAGTCACACCTCAGTGGTTACCCTTCCTATTATCTGTCAGCACTGCCTCCATCCTTTGAGACCACCTCAGATTCCACCTTCTCCATCAGGCCTTCCTAAGCACTGTCCTCCTGTTGATAGTGAGGCATTGACATTGTCTCCATTGGAGCCAACAGAGCACTAGAGTGGGAGGGTGTCCTAGCAGAGGCTGCAGAACAGACACCAGCAACATTTGCAACTATAGCATCTCTTAGGAGATTGGAGAGTTTTTGCAGAGGTGCACATCTGTGTGCTTGAGATACAATGAGAGAAAGATACAGTGGTGAGATAACAGACATAGAGTGGCTTCCGAAAGCCCATTCTTACAGAGCCCAAAGGGAAGCTGTGGTCTGTTACCATCTGCTTAATGATTGCTGTCATTAGGGGAGAGCCATTGAAGCCACTGGGCAATTTTAGGGGTAAGAGTCTTATACATGGGTTTGGAGGTGGGAGTCCAGAGTCTTGGAAAGGTGCTAGCCCATAGAGATGCCTCTCAAAGGCTCCTCTCAGTCCTGTGTCTGTGGAATCTTGTCCTGTCTTGCAGATCACGGGGATGACCTGTGCTTCCTGTGTTCACAACATAGAGTCCAGACTCACCAGGACAAATGGCATCACCTATGCCTCTGTAGCCCTCGCCACCAGCAAAGCCCATGTGAAGTTTGATCCAGAAATCATTGGTCCACGGGATATTGTGAAAATTATTGAGGTAATTTATTCATGAAAAAAATTACACCCACTTTTTTAAAAGTAGTGATATGTAATCATTGAAGAAAAATGAGAAAATATACTTAAGCAGAAAGAATAAAAATGGAAATCACCTAAAACCTATGAACTTTTCCCATGATAATAAGGCTAGTCATTTTAAATTAGTCCAAGAAGGAAATCAATAATTTGAAAGAGAATAACAGTGAATAGTAAGAAAGAAAGGAGGGGGAAAAGACATCTTATTTTTAGTTTCAGATATTCCCTGAGAAGCATCAGTGTTGCCAAGATACCTGGCATGTAGGGTTAAATTTCCCAATTCTGGTTTTAAAATGTTATTTATGTGCCAAGAATGTACTGACCAAGAGAATGTTGACATTGAACAGAA